TAGTCTAATTAAAAAATGCAATAAAAAATCCCCTCCGAGGGCAGTGCATTTGCTAACAGTGAAGAAAAGTCTGTAGTTACTTCCTGGTTCTGGGAAGGAGTCGTTGGTATGTTATTTCCAGTCACCAGTTTTTTCTCCAGCGCCCTTCATCCTCTCCCAGCCATAATATCAACAAGAAGTAAGTTTCCCAAAACAAGACAAAAGTTATGCAATTAAAATCCGCTTTGTATACTTTGGCAGTTTTTGCCTTCGCTTAACTTCTTATACGCTTATTTTAGCTTTAAGTCTTTTTATTTCCGATTTAAAACCGCTTTTAAATCTTTTTCAAAAAAAGGGGGGGGGAGTGCTTAATCCCTCTCCCTCCACGCTTCAAACTTAGGCGCTTCCAATTACTACCAGGGTCAGTTCGCTTTTTCACCTGAGCTTTGCTTAACTCACAGTTTGGAGACCTGGAGATCTTTTGGAAGCATTTTGAAGTTTTGATCGTGGTCGCTTGCTCCAGCAGTCGTCTCTAAGCGCCATACTGGCTCCGCAGCAACTGTACCTTTCGGTGATAAGGTGAGCCTCAATTCCTTGGCCGTCACCTTGGAAAAGGCTCTCCTCAGCTCCCCAGGCTGAGGGTCTCCTACAGAGATCCCCAGGGAGGTCCAGGACGAACTCGGACCCCTCCCGTCAGCCGGGTCTCGGCGCGTCCCCATCAGAGCGGCGAAACACTTAAACCGGAAGTCCACTTGTACAGTATACTGCTAAACAGTGTTCCCTGACTGCCCATTTCATGCAGTGTTTTTATACTCCAGTGGGACAACTTAAGAATTTCTCAGTTCTGATATTTGCACTTTCAGTTGTTGTGAGGTTCAGTTGTATCTCTGAATAACTTTGCTTAAGCAGGTCTATCTGTCCTGCCCCATTCTGGTCTGAGGTTTGTTGGGTCTTACAACTGCAACACCTGTGAAACCTATCCACAACTGTGTCATGGATGCTGTGGAATAAACTGTTAAGCTCCTCAGCTCTTAAGACTGTATGAGAACTGCAGTTGTCCATGGGCATCAGAATATAGTGGATCCAGACTGAATCAGCTATGTTTCCTGCAGATTATCTTGCCCTCTCTCTGGCCTTAATTACAGCTTTGGGCGGTGGAAAAATCTGTCTCTATACTCATTCTGCAGCTCACTGCTGGTCCACAGAATAATTCTGCTTGTGTTTTGCTGATTACTTTATCATTTCTCTATTGAAGGCTCTTCACTGTGGTTTGTCCCAGGATGTGTTTCAACTAACTGAGTTCAAATCAGTATTCCAGTCATAGTTAAATGCATGGTTCGCTCAAGGTGCTCAGACAACTGTCCTGACTTGCCACTGCTTCCTCAAGGAGGAGTTCCCTTCTACGTACCTTGCAGAATTTTATTTTATATCCTTCCTTTCTTCCATATGGAACACAGGCTGTCTTACAGAGGAGTCCCAGGAGGTCTGTCACCAGCCAGATCCCGACTTAGAGTCAGTGTGATTGTTGTATCGTATGGCTTTTCTGTCATTCTCAGCAATCCCCTTGCTGAACACACTCAAATGTCCATGCTCTTCAACAGCTGACTAAAATTTCTGCAAGCCCAACACCCTGAGTTGTATTGTGTCGGCTTGTCTTTCTTTGTGCATGAAGACATCAATTTGTGCTCTGCCGCTACTTTTCAAACATGGCTGGCCGTGCTCTTAAGACCCCTTCTGATGTGGTCATGGATGGAAAAAAGTTGTGTTTTGGCTAATTAGAGACAGCTGCATAAAACAGTCTTGCATGAAGCGCATCATAGTCTAGATAATACTTCATCAATGAAATCTCTAATCTTCCTCTTTTCACTTGAACAGTCTTCCATTTGCCTCTCTTGCAGCAGGATTCTGAAATACCAAAAGTACAAGTTAAATAATGTTGGGGTGGCCAGCATTGTGTTCTCTAGGAAACTAACACCTTTTCTCTTTCCTGTTATAGGCCTGATGGACACCAGAATAACCTGAGGAGTGCAGCCTACGAAGCTTTGATGGAAATTGTGAAGAACAGCGCCAAGGACTGCTATCCAGCTGTCCAGAAGACAACTTTAGTTATCATGGAACGGCTACAACAAGTGCTTCAAATGGAGGTTGGCTGGAGAGCAAAAGCTTTTCTTGTTTGGAGATAGGGCCCCAACAAATGAGTGGAGGCTGGGCAAGTTTGTGCCTATGTAACTTCATGCATGTTTTCTGTAGGTCTCCAAACCCTGGTGCTGCATCAAAAGGATCTTTAAAAGACCTTCTTGAAGGCACCAGGTCTATTCTCTGCCTATATATCTGGACTCTTCAGGTGCACCCATGTGACCATATTAAAACAATCGGGGTTGGATCCAGAGTTTTCTTTACAAAAAGCAGAGTTTTTCTGCAATGCAAGCAGCCTTAAACTGGTGCAAGGAGCCTTGCTCACGCAGAAGAGGCAGATTTCACTAATGGCATGTAGGGGTGTGCCTTTGGCATAAACCAAGCCAAATAAATACCCCAAAATAATACACCAAATACCCAAAAATACCTTATCAGTATTTTTCAGCTATAGCTGAGCCCGAAAAAAAACTGATTGTATTCGGCTTTTATTTGGGTGGTTTCAGCTATAACAAAACCGAGCTATCAGCTATTTCAGTGCTTCCTTTCTCACACACCCCACTCCGGAGTTGGGGAAGCAACCAGAGGGGTTTAATGGCTTCTTGCCACGTAAAAGGAGCTTTGCAAAGCTGCACTGTTTGCCAGTGAACTCCAAGTGGCCAGTGAGATCACCCATAAGTGAGTGAGCTTGCTGGCGGCTCGGAGTTCTCTGGTGCACAGTGTTGCTTTTGAGTATACCATAGGGTATAATGGAGCCGAATAAATTTGTCAATATTGGGATTCAGGAATATCAGTGTATATATATCAATATTTTCAGGTTTGATATATCCCAATCTGAAAAATACTGATTTTTGTGTGTGTGTGTGCACAGCCCTAGTGGCAGGCTCCTTTTGATGAGGAAGGCTCCAGTCGTGTTGGAATGGGAACTTTGGGACAGCTCTCCAATTATCATAACTACTTTTGTGAGCCTGGATTAATATTTAGCTGTCTTTCAGTCCACGCTGCATAAACTTCTATTCACCTCAGTCATGTGTACTACTTTAAATGTTGGATTTGAGGCAGTTCACTCTGATGGTAGAGCTACAGTAGGCAGCAGTGGGGGCTTCTTTTGTGTGCTAAAAGGATGTCTTCTCTCCCCCAGTCCCATATCCAGAGTACATCAGACAGAATCCAGTTTAACGACCTTCAGTCGCTGCTGTGTGCCACTTTGCAGGTAAAAACCATCCCCTGCTCTTTGACAAGGCATTCCAACACAGGATTTGTGAGGGGAGTGTTCAAAATAAAACCGTTTGAATTGTGTCTTACGTTGAGAGGTGCCACGAAGGGCCATTTTAACATGTGGTGCCTGTGTTCACGATGGCATCCCCCACTGCACCTGGCGCCCATCAAGCTTTTCCCAGGAAGTGGGCAGGGACATTCTAAGGCAGGGCTTTTTATTGGCTGCCCTTGTTCAGTTAAAGGATCTGGAGGGCTGATTAGTACAAGGCTCTCCTTATTCCCACGTCTCTCTCCCTTCCTTCCCCTCCCTGGCAGGTACGTGGCTTTGCTCCTGTTAGCCACTTTGGGGAGGTGTTCACCACACCTTCTGAAACTTCCAAAGGTGGTCACAGACTCAAAAGGTTTGGGGGACCCTTGATGTGAAATATGCTTCACATCAAGGGTCCCCCAAACCTTTTGAGTCTGTGACCACCTTTAGACAAGGCCTCTTCAGTTTGAATGTCTTTTTCCCCCCTTCAAGACTGCAAAAAAACACAAATCGCCTTGGATAAGGAAATCTCCACAAGTAATATAGACCGTCTAGTGTAATGGTTAAGAGCTTGAGTGAGGAGTTAGAATGGTGACATAGCCATAGCCAGAGCTCCTTTTTCTCTGTTCTCCCTGTCCCCGTCTACCTTCTGTCTACAGTGATATGGGACTGGCCTTAACAAGATTAAGGAAATGTTTAAAGTACATCGAGCACTTAAGGAATGCTAGAGATTTGTTCCAAGTTAACTGACATCTAATCAAAACATGCTCTCCTTCTGGAGTCATGGTGTGATACAGAGATTGTACATTAGTAGGGAAATATTTTTTTTTAATGAAGTCTTCAAGATGTCATCAGACTTTTCTTGCTGCAGCAAATGAACAGAGCCCAACCCTCTAGAGCAGTTGGTGAGAACATCTAGTGACTCTGAACAAAAGGACCAATAAATCTCAGGGCACCAAAAAGTCAGTTTCTACCCTCTGCCCTGTTGGGCTCCCCCCCTCTGCACCACTAGAAATGTGTGGTCCATAATCAAAATCCAATCCAGACATGCTTTGTTAACCTTGCAAGGCTAACTAATGCAAGTGATGTTACCTCAGATCTTTGAATCTGCACTGACTGACTAGACCAGATCTGGCTTTTCCCCCCCCATGGTGGTCTTTTGTGTCTGCAGTAATCCTCTGCTCTTTCAGTTGCTCTACACAGTCTCTTATGTTTTCTCTTGGGGCAGGGCTTAGCAAAGGTAGACCTGTGTCTTGACAGTACTCCCTCCAACTATAACTCTCAACTGTGTTTGCACCCTATAGTGTTGTCTCTGGCTGTGTACAGCTCTCTTCCAATCACATTGCTGGCTGGACAGAGTGCTGACTAAATAGGGGGCTGCTGCCTGCCCTGTTCCAGCTATTTGGAGTTAGCCGCAAGTGTGTGTGTGGGGGGTAGGATTCTTTTAACCTATCCAGTTCTTTGCTCTCCTTGGCACCTCCGGACTGAAGTACATCCTCTCTGTGTACATGTGCCGTCCGGTGGGATGGGCTGCCATGCCAGTGGGGGAGGGAAGCCAAAGACCAGCCCTCTTGTACATTCTTATCTCTTTCCTCGTCCAGTGATGGGCACCTTGCCTGCCTTGCAAAGCATAGACTTAACACTCACACTATTAAAAACCAAACCTCAGTCAAGAACTGGATCGGTTTTCTCTCCTCGTTTAAATCCAGTCCTTGGGGACCCAATTATGCACAAAACTTCCTGTTCATCTATGTAGCAAGGGGGGAGAGACTGCTTTTAAGCTGTGTGGACAAGGGAAAGCAAATTGTAATCCCCCAGCCTTCTCTCTACACCGTACTCAGATGTTTGAGGGTTTTGTGTGGTTTTTTTGTAGCAGCTTGAAAGTTGGGAGGGATAACCTTGAGGGAGAGAATCCCCTGAAAATTTCATCCCAGTTTGTTCGGAGACAAAATTACCAGTAGGAACAGTTCCTACCAAAACCATCTTAAATGTAACCCAAATGCAGTAGTGATTCCAAACATACCCTAACATTGCAGGATTGATTTGGACAGTTTCTGAGTAACAAAATGAGCTAAACTTAAATAAAATGCCTGTGTGTATTCCTAATACATACACTCCCACAGGTGAATATCCCTAATGCATACTATGGTTGAGCTGCATCCTGCTTCCTATTTTGAAGTTTTATTTCTAGCCTTGTCTAAAACCCGGGTGACACTTGTTGGTAGTGCCAAAAGCTGGGGTAGGATGCAAATGTGCTTGTGTAGCTATTCATGGAACAACTGTGTATGGCGCAGTACATAACCCATGCATGCGTCCTTCATGTGATTTTGGAACCAGTTCTTTCCTCTGCAAATGTGTTGGCTGGTTAGGCTTTGAATATTAAAGCAAAACCCACCTGCCAACCTTCTCGGCCACAATTTGCTGAGTGTCTCGGCCCATACCCACCTCCGATTAAGATACCTTAAAGGGAGGAGTGGGAAGAGAAGCCTAAGAGAGAAACCCTTCCAAGTGGACCAGTTTAAAGTTGCTCTTAGGGAATATTGCTCTCATTCTTTCCTTTGTAAGAGGTTGTATTTTCAAATCCAAAATAGTCAGTCGAGACCTAAGTGAACTTCCTAATGTCAGGGCTGGGTGAATAAAATCTCATTGTCTGAAAGATGCCAGAAGATCTCCCCCCACAGATATACTTTTACTTGTTCTGTAAAAGTGTTGGAGCTGCTGAGTTCATGAGAATAAAATGGTCCTCTACAGTCGATGAGAATTTAACCTTATTAGAGCTTGATGCCATTGTTAACATAAAGCATACCTTATCAATGACAAATTCTTTGGCGGATGCTCTGGATATTTATGGTCAATTAATGGATCTGATTGGTTCTTTAGCCAAATCCCTTCTGCAACAACACCTAAGCCTCAATCCTGGTTTGATGCAGAATGTTATGCAGTTAAAACGCAGATTCGGTCTGCATATAAAGGATTTCGTAGTTCGAATAACTATGATATATTAAAGGTCTATCATGATCAAAATAATTTTTATCATGATTTTATCCTTAATAAACAGAGGCTGTTTCATTATAGGTAATGGTCTGAACTACTCCAAGCATTAAAATCCAATAACAATAAAACCTTTTGGCAAGTTGTATCTTCTTATACAAACAATAGTGTAACTTTTCCTGTCCTAACATCTCTCCTCAAATTTGGTTTGATTATTACAGCACAATCTTTGATGCTCCTGGTAATATCTTACTAGACACTGATAACACCATCCCAGCAGACATTCCCAACTGGCCTCCGGTAACTGCGGATGATTTGATCTCAGAATTAAAACTAGGCAAGGCTCCAGGTCCTGACGGGATCCCGGCAGAGGTTTTTTCCAAACACCCTCACTTGTGGGTCTGTTCACTTTATTAATCAATCTGGAAGGATTCCCCAGTCATGGCTGAATTCTATTATCATTCCTGTTTTTAAAAAAGGAAATCCTAATTGCCCGGAAAGTTATAGGCCAATCAGTCTTTTATCTATAATAGGCAACTTATATGCCAAATCTCTAGAAAGACGGTTAAAAATATGGATATACTCTCAGCAGATAATCAGTCCTGAACAAATTAGTTTCTCAAAAGGATAAATAAAAGGTAATTCTACTGTAGACCACTGCTTTCTTCTAACTTTCCTGGCCGATAAATATGAAATCGGGCACTAAACAATTGTACACAACCTTCATCGATCTGAAAGGCGCTTTTGATTCAGTTTCCAGAAAATTACTTTGGAGAAAGCTTGAAATTTTGAATATTGAGCCTCGATTATTATTTTTATTTAAAAAGCTCTACTCGTCTGCCAAGTTAAATATTCAGAATCTGGTCATTTAACTGCTAAAATACCAACTTTAAAAGGAGTAAAACTGTATACTGGCCCTACTTCTTTTATTCCAGAGGGAATCAATATTTACCGGGCGCCATAAATATCCTTGAAACCAAAATTCTTCCTCAATTATTATATGGCATTCCCATTTGGATAATGGGCTTTCATAACAATCTTGAAAGACTACAGGCCTGTCTTTTTCGCCAACTTCTAGGCGTTTCTGTATTCCATATTCCTCTCTTTGTTCAGAATTGGGCCAACATCTTATAGATACTAAATGTTGGTTATTAACTTTTAAATATTGGTTGAAAATACACTTCAGATAGCCACCAAATTCTTTAATCTCACATTTTAAAAATGACGTTTATAGCGTAACCTGGTTGGCATATATTGAGAAGAAAATTAGTCAAATTGGCTTCTCCTTAGAATATTTCTATTCACTGGATGGAGTCTCTATTTTCCAGATTATCAAATGGAGACTGCTTGACCTTGAACTCCAAATGTTATGTCCTGCACAATTTCGCATATTTTCTCAGGCTCAGTTAAATCTCCCAATTCAATATGGCCAGATGGCCCATTATCTCCACAACTTAGTTCAGCCTTCGCACTGTAGAGCCTTCACATTAGCCCGTCTAAATGTTTTCCCTTCAAAAATGCTCTCAGGTTGGTTTAATAAAATCCCCCTACATGAAAGGTTATGTTCTTGTCCTTTAAAATCTGTGGATTCAATATATCATTATTTTTTACTGTCAGTTTCACTCAGCCATACGCAAAGAATTGTTGTCATCTTTATTTCCTCCTAATTTTAGTTCTAGTAGGGAAAAAGCTATTCAGTATCTACTAAAGGGTACTAATCCTAATATTACAGCTTTAGTGGCCACGTTTCTTGCCGAAGCAGTCAAAGTTAGATCTATTCTCATAAAGGAATGATTCATATTGTTTATTATGTTCCTAAATATCCATACTGTGTTATTGTATATCTTTGTATCTTACTGCTATGCTATTAAAAGTATTTAAGAGCAATGTGATAACAGGAGGGAGGAAAGTAGTCTGGGAGGAAAGTCTTTGCCTAACTTCTCCTTTCCTTCTGCCAAACATCAGAATGTCCTCCGTAAAGTGCAGCACCAAGATGCTTTGCAGATCTCTGATGTGGTGATGGCTTCTCTCCTGAGGATGTTTCAAAGCACAGCAGGATCCGGGGGTGTCCAAGAGGATGCCCTCATGGCTGTCAGCACACTAGTAGAAGGTCAGCACTTTATAAAGGTTGGAGGGTCTTGAAGGGGAAGCGTGCAAACCAAGCGTTGTGTGGATATATTTTGCCTTGTCTCCGGATTCTCTTGGTCTTCTCCAGTTGCCACAGTGTGGGCCGTGAAGGGGTGAGAAAGCATGGTGAAAAGGGATGGTTTTGGCAGTGAGTTAGCCGAACACAGAAATTGCAGCAGCATTCAAGTAGGCTGGATTGCTGCTTTGGTTGGCCAGGGATAGCCATTTTCTTGAAGATAGCAACTCTGTTTTATGATCAGGTTACTTACTTGAGAAGAGTGTCCCTTGCTGGTGAAAGCAGAGGATGTATGTGAGGTGTAGGTATGATGAAGTCTGTTGGGGCTAATACTGGGTGGAGGTTTTGACTTCTCCCTGCCACTTGGCTTTAGAGCATGTAAAACCTTGCTTAAAAATTTGTGATTGCTGGGGTAGTCTTGGCATCCTAATTCTGTTCTTACTGCTTTTTGAGTATTGTCTTAAGAGTCACCTTTGCCACCTTACAGGGTGTTTTTTTGCATGAGGGTTGGAATGTTATGGCGTTCTGTTCTAGTCGTGTTTGATTTCTCTTGTCTTTTGTGTGGGTAAAAATTAGTGCAGAACAATTACAACACAGTGAGTTGGATCCTACCACTGCCAAAAGAGAAGGGAAAGGCAAGCAAGTAGCTCATGTCCCTTGTGGTGGTTGATCTAACGGGTTTCATTAGCCTTGATTCAGGGGTCAAATGAAGTTCCTCCTCCTCGCACCAGCAAAAGCACTGCTAGGATCAGCCCAGCTGTTCTGTAACATCCATAAGAATTATTTGTAAACTTGTGAATGAGCAGAATAAATACTCTTGCTTGTTCCTTACTAGTGATGCTCGCAAGTTGTGGCCCTTCTCTGGAAACATGCGCACATGGAATGTCTCCATCAGACCACTGATCTTCAGCTGATGAGTTGGTACCCACAAAGGTCCTGTGTCCTGACTTAAGATGGCCTGTGCCGTTTTTGTTCAGGGCTTCGTTCTTCAACAGAAACAGACCCCAGAGGCAAAGGAATTTGGAAGCTCTTTAACCATTAATGCTTACGCTGGACAGAATTAGGGTAGTTGCTGCATTTAATGCACAGCTGAGAAGCAGCATCTGCAGAATTCTCTTCTGCACATAGATACCAAAGCCCTTCTGTCCTACTTCACATCTGGTCTCCTTAAGTAAAACTCAGCTTTCCAGGCTCAAAACGTGAAGTGTGTTGTCCCATGTTGCAGTTTAGGAGGGCCTTGAGTCCAAAGGTTGCAGTTGACCACTGCATTGAATAGTAGGTTCCTCTTAAAGCTGTGCCAGGCTCAGTATGTGATCACTTAAGAACGATAGTTTAAATCCACACATGAGGAATTGGAATGGGGGATGAGCTGTGGCTTAGTGGCAGAACATGCTTTGTGTGCAAAAGGTCCGGGGTTCAATCCCTGTTAAGAATCTAAGGTGGCGCATGTTAGAGAAGGCCTTTCATTGCCTGAGACCATGGGCAGCACTGAGGTAAATGGTCTGCCTTGATATGACGTAGCTTCACTTACTCATACTGTTTCTGATTAGATAGCGTAGTGTAAGGACAGGATAGTTTTGATCTACTGGCAGCAATGTGAACAAGAGTGGTGTTAGTGCTGAATCAGGCTTGCTTTAGCTTAAGGACAGAGAGGGAAGAGTGGAGAGCAAGTTTAAACATACAACCAAAAAGAGGTGACTCTCCTTGCTGAAGACAAGCTGCCGCAGTCCTTTGCTCATGTAGTCCTTTTAAGTAAAATACATAAGACTGGGTTGTCAAGCTTGTATCTTTGTAAAACCAGTCTCAAGTTGGTTGAAGGAAAAATAACAGCTTTGCCCATATTGTGTTTGGCGTACTTGATTGTAATAAAGGTTTCCTTGGGCTGGGGGCATGAGTAGGCAACCCCAACATGTGGCAAACAGCAGTATGTCAGACCATTTTGCCCAGTATGCAGGGCCAGCTCTCTTCCCAGGGGGCTGAGGTGGAGCACTGTCAATACCCCTGGGACTCAGCTTACTGTGGGTTTGTTTGGTCAGGGGAAAGTGACATCTTGTCCATTCATCTTCCAGCATGCCTGCCTCTGTGTTAGGCTGTAGGTGACACCACATTTGAATCCTCCCTACTTCTCCCCCATCCCATTCAGTCTTCTGGACAGAAAGCCAGTATGTTAAGGTGGAAGGGGGTTGTCCTAACTTTCTGCCTGGCATTTCATTTTTCTGTATGCCTGGAGTTTTTCCCTGGAGGAGCAGGGAAACATGCCAACCCCCACCTGCAGCCTGAAGTGGACCGTTTCAGAAAACGTGTGTACCCCTTGGTTCACCTGCTGGTAGTGCTTGTTAGATCCTCTGGCAAAGGCTTGGAAGCTGCACAGTGGAAAAGATGGAATTGGTTCAGAAGAGGTCACTTACTTTTTACACACTCCACGCCTTCCCACCACTTGATTTGGTATGCATTCTGAGTTGTGGATCACATTGAGGTCTTCTGCCTACCTGCCTGCCTGCCCACTCTCCCACCCACCTCTTTCTTGACGCTTCTAATAACCGGCAAAGAATAAAAATATGATTCATCCAGAAGTTTGGGCTGCAAGCACTCCACAGTCGTCGTGGCGTGTGTATGCTGTCACACCACAGTTGGAAGCTTTTTTATTTAGAATACTGTTGCTATGGCTAGTGACACAGATCGCTCACTTGTCTTTCAAAGTAGGCTGTTGAAAGATATGAATAAAAAATAGTGCTGGGAGGGACTTAAATTTTGAGCTTACTCATTAGGACTGAGCGCAGAAATCTGGGAATGCCCTAGGGATTAGTGCAGACGGTCGATCTCCCATGCCTCCTCTTCCGTTTCAGAGCTATCTGTGGCTAGCAAAATTGCCAGTTCGGGTGTTGATGCTACTTATAGTTACCTTGAAGCCAAAGGGGATAGAAGGAGGACATGAGCCTCTTAGGTACTCTAGAATCTGGTCTCTTTAACCGTGGTTAGGAAATTGGACAGTTCTTGAACCTTAGCAGGCTTCAGGGAAGTCCTGGGAAGGTCTTGTTTTCTCAGCCTCAGTTCCTCGTCTGTAAAGCCGGAGTGATAATGTAGGATCGTCATCTTAGGACATCAGATGGTAACAGGCTCTGCAGAATAAGTAACTGGCTCTAATACTCACCCTACCTGAGGGGGCCTGCTGCTTTAATTTAGTTCTTTGGAAAAAATGCAAGCGCATGGGAAACTCGCATGATTTAATTGGTCAGAGCACTGCAGTCATTCCACTTCTGTACAGATAGGAGGCCTGGTTGCCCTTAAGCAGCTGGTTGAATAGTGTTCCTGTGCTCTCTCATTTCTCTGTAAAAGTCTGGCAGTATCATAATTGCTGCACACCTAATGGGCGTTTGGATTCTTTGTAGTAACATGTAGGCTGGGTTGCCTAGTTTTAGATCTAGCAAACCGCTAGACTATTGTCTCTGGGGTGCAGTACAGTTTTAGATGTTTGATCCCTATTTGTTTGTCCCCCTTTATTCCGGATAGTGCTGGGTGGAGAGTTTCTCAAGTATATGGATGCCTTCAAACCTTTCCTAAGTATTGGGTTGAAGAACTATGCTGAATACCAGGTAAGCCTCTCTTGTGTGCATCCAAGCCTTTTGGCTTTGGGTGGGCCTACTCTTGTTTCTGTTTCCACTGTGTGATTTTGATTGCCTGGGCTGAACTAGGGGGGCTGGGGATTGGCAGTGGGTGGATCAGTGTGTTGCGGCAAGGGCTTCTGGGCTGTGTGTGCAGAATTCCTTGACTGGGAAAGTTGCAGAATTCTTGGTAGGATATGGAAGGACAGGGCTCTATCCTCGGTTCTGCCACCAACAAAAAAACAAAAGCCCCCAGTCCTGATAGCTGTGGAAGTAACCGATAATGTTGCACACACACAGGAAAATTGCTGGGTAAGGGAAGGCAGAAGTCTTGACTTCTGCAGAAAAACTGTAAACCTGATATAGCAAATTCACCATTCTCTGTAGGCTGCAGGCACCTGGCTCAGATGCAGGCCTGAAAGCACCCTTAGTTTTTTGTTCGATCAAAAACAATTGCTGAGCGTAACAAGCACAGAAGTGGCCCAAGCTCGATATGGCAGGATGGGCAGAGAACAGCACAAGAGGGTGTCAGGACATAGTTTCTGTAAGGCTGCATTCAGGGGTCCAGTTCAGCCAATAAATATGCACCCAAAAACCTTCCTTGTGCCTGTCTCCTCTCCTTTTCTCAGCTGAGCTGGAGTTCATTTTTCACCCCAGAGCCCAAGATTCTTAAAAAGGATCTAATCCCAGTTCATGATTTTCATTAAACGGAAATAAAATTCTATTTTAGCCTGTGTTTGTATGTCACAAGTAACCAGCCCTTAACCTTCTGCTCATTACATTCTGCTCCAGAAGGGGCAGGGAAAGAAAAAAAGGAAAGAGGGGGACCCAGCTCAGGTGTGCACTCTTATTTAACCAGAGTCATCTCAGTCTTAGATATGTGGAGGTGGGCAGGCTTTTGAGTTTCTGAAAGGGGGGGGGGGAAGCACAGCAATTTGGCAGCCCCCTGCTGCAGAGCGTTCTTTAGTACAAAAGTGATCTTGCTGCGGTGCTCTTTCCCACTTAAGCGGTTTTCAGATACACGGTGTGACAGTTGCGCAAATGGGCATTGCCCCACAAAATAAATTCCCCTTGGATGAATGGGGTATCAGTTCTGAAAGGCTTCTTCTCAGCTGGCAAAATCACTTTGTGTCTCTTCCCCGTTGCTTGTAATGCTCCATCAAACAGTTAAAAAAAGCCTGTGAGTCTTCCAAGCACGTCACAATGGAGCACTGCCTGTCTCACTGGCTTTATTTAGTGTTCTAATAGGGGCACAGATGTGGTGATCGGTGCTGGTGGAGTGGAGGGGCGGTGAAAAGTGACTCACGGTTCAGGTGGGTGTGATCAGCTACTGCATTTCTCCTCTTAGGTCTGTCTGTCTGCGGTGGGCCTAGTCGGTGACTTGTGCCGAGCCTTGCAGTCCAACATCCTGCCTTTCTGTGATGAAGCTATGCAGCTACTCTTAGAAAATTTGGGGGTGAGTGGACCTTAGTTGTTTGAAGAATTCGAGAGAGATTTTTTTGGGGGGGGCAGTCTAGAAAAAATCCCTTATGTAACATTTTAAGAAATAATCCCTGCAGTGTAGAAAGGAAACTGACAAAGGTAAACAGCTTGTATGTATAGATATTGTGGCTGAGTCTTTGGGAAACAGAAGGAAGGCAAGTGATGTAAACAAAGTTGTGGGTTTTTTTAACCAAGACAAGAAGCCCTTACCTTGCGTGAGTTCCATTTGAATGATCTGCATGTATGGTTTTACTGGCACACGTGTGTGTGTGTGTGTGTGTGTGTATTGTGTATGGGCTGGTTAAATGAAATCCATAGTGTGATAAAGGGTCACTGTTGGTCTAGCTTTGCATTTACAAGCCACAAAACGCTTTGCTTCCTTTCCTTTCAATGGCCCCGGTCACATGGCAAAGTTGCTGTGGGAGAGGCACGGAACGTGGGCGCATTATCTGGGTGTGATCACACCCCAACATCTGGGAAGTGGAGCGCACCCGTGGCTTACCGCCGACAATGCGCATTTAAAAACTAATACCTCCAAGGTACTAGTAAATGTTTGCCACGGGCTGCCTCCAGACGCCCATGGTGTGATCACGCATTCCCCTCCGGTCCCTCGTTTACCCGCCGGCACCGAGGGAAGGACCCGTGGTGTGCCGCCAGCGCGTCTGATTGCATAATCACGGATAAAACTGCGCCGGGGCAATTAACCCCCCCGCCGCGATATCCGGCCCGTGTCCGCGACGCCATAGTCTACCCTGTCTTTAATTACATTATTAAATTAAAATGGCGTTACCCCTGAGTTTCTTGGCTGCAGGTAACAGGAGTATTATATTACTTAAAGGGCACTGTTTGTATTACTGATGTGGAATTACTGTTGTGGCACTTCCTCCATTTGGATCTTGAAATTGGCTAGCTTACTGGTGTAGAAGAACTAGAACTTCAAATAGCCTGTCAGATAAGGATTTTTTTCTTCAGACATGGTCACTGTTCATAATAGATCAAGTTGGGTGGTCATATTTGTCTATAGCAGTAGAGAAGAGCAAGAGCCCAGTAGCACCTTGAAGACTAACAAAAACTTGTGGCAGGGGAGGAGCTTTCATGAGTCACTGCTCACTTCTTCAGTTACCTGCCACAAATTTTGTTAGTCTTTAAGGTGCTACTGGACTCTTGCCCTTTTCTACTGTTCATAATGGTCTGGAACGGAAAGGCCAGTCATGTATGTATCTTTTTAACCTTTTGTTTGATGTTACTATCTGACACTTTTTGTACTTTCTCACTTTCAGTAATAAAACTTGTTGAACGGGGGGGAAATAAGAGTAAAATGGGATTACTTCTGAGCAGCTCGGGGGTTGGGAGATTAAGATCCAGATACCTAAATTAATCTTACTGTGTTGGGGGGGGGGGGGTTAAAAATGTGCTGTGGGTAAAATAGCGGTTGGTCTTTGCAGAATGAAAACGTGCACCGATCTGTGAAGCCCCAGATTCTCTCCGTGTTTGGTGACATTGCTCTTGCAATTGGAGGAGAGTTCAAGAAATACTTAGAAGTTGTATTGAATACTCTACAGCAAGCTTCTCAAGCCCAGGTGGATAAGGTAAGGCCAGGAGACTCGTGCTGCTGCATAGCTTCCCTTCTCCCCCTTCCACTAAGGCAGGTTTGGCAGCCCTGGTTGAACCATTTCATCATGCCTGATTCTTTTTGCCCTTAGTCTGACTATGACATGGTGGACTACCTGAACGAATTGCGAGAGGGCTGTTTGGAAGCGTACACTGGCATCATCCAGGGACTGAAAGGAGATCAAGAGAATGTGCATCGTGAGTATTTCCGAGGGCTCTGAAGCAGGACCTTTAACCAGACCAGGGATGGACAACTGTCATGGGATGGGGTAAATGCCCCCCATGTTCTAGGCTGCTGGCTGGCTCAGTTAGTACCAGATAATGCATGACAGGAAATCCCTTTGGCCTCTGTACGTGCTTCCGTTTTGCCTCCGCAATTGCCAGGGCTCACAAATGCGCAGCAGAATATAAGCAACCATAATGTATGGAGTATTATGTTGGAAATCTTTTGGTGGGAGGAGGGAAAACTGCATGACCTACATTCAAGTCCCTGCCCCCCAGAGTCCTCCTGTGGCCATTTGGGCCAGCCTCTGCCTGCCTGCCTGGATATTAAAAGGCTCCCTTCTGTGGTCTGTGATGCAGTCAACAGTGAAGCCCTTTGCTTTTTTCAGAAACTGAAGTGTCGAGACAGTGAGTTGGGGCGGGGGCCACTCTGAGTGTCCTGAGACAGCTGCCAGTCCTTCATGCACGTGGCCCTGGCTGTGTCTTCCTTCAGTTGTAGCTGTAGTGTATTTGTCTTCAAGCAGTTGTTCCAGTGTGTTGAACAAATGAGGTCACTGCTTTGGAGGCTTGTTTATGTGGTTGTGTGTTGGTGGTGCAGAACGCAACCCTTGCACGGGGCTGTGAAGCAGGGTGCGCTTCGAGACCCAAGGAAGGCAGAAGGAAAGTAGAGGGTTGGGGGTGATGTCCGTCAGAAGTATTTTAGGCCCGCAGCCTTTTCTTTAATATTGGAACATAGAAAATAGCTTTGCCACCAGCCTGTCAAGCTAATGGCGCTTTCTTTTCAGCGGATGTGATGTTGGTGCAGCCTAGAGTAGAATTCATCTTATCTTTCATTGACCATATTGCTGGAGACGAGGATCATACCGATGGGGTCGTAGCCTGTGCGGCTGGGCTGATTGGGTAGGTGCCTATCTAACTTACAGAAACATGGACTCACTTTTCCTACCCCAAAGAGACTTGGTATGTGTAAAGAGTTTTTTTCTGAAGGGCATATTTAAATGTGTAATTGGCGCTGTGCAAACCAGTTTGGTGTAGTGGTTAAGTGTGCGGACTCTAATCTGGGAGAACTGGGTTTGATTCCCCACTCCTCCACTTGCACCTGCTGGATGACCTTGGGCAAGCCATAGTTCTGGCATAGGTATTCTTGAAAAAGAGCAGTTTCTGTCAGAACTCTCTCAGCCCCACCTACCTCACAGGCAGTGTTCCCTCTAAGCTGAGTTAGTGTGAGCTAGCTCACAATTTTTTAGCCCCTGGCTCACACATTTTGGTCTTTGCTCAGGGAGGAGGGCTCCAGAGCAAACTAATTTATGCAGCAGCCAAATTGCTTGCTCACAACTTTCATGCCAGTACCTCATAAAGTAGAATTTTTGCTCACAAGATTCCACAGCTTAGAGGGAGCATTGCTCACAGGGTGTCTGTTGTGGGGAGGGGAAGGGAAAGGAGTTTGCAAGCCGCCTTGAGACTCTCTTGGGTAGTGAAGGGCGGGGTATTAATCCAGTCTCTTCTGTTCTTCTATTTCCTGCTTGAATGTTGAGTGGCCATGAAGACCATTATCAGTACTGTGTCTAGCAACCTGCTGTTTGACCCACAGGCCCTACTTTTGGGGGGGAGGAGTGGTGATGTAATGTCTCACTAACAACAAGCGATTGTCAGAATGGCAATAGATAAATGTCGGCAGCTTCACCTGTAGCCTCTCAGATGCTTGCTGAGATGAGCTTCGCCCTTGCCCTTTTTGGAGGCTGTTCATGACGCCCATAGGGACTCCCCAGGAGTTCCTTCTGTATCTTTAGGGGATCAGCAGAAAGAGGCTGATTCTGCCGAGCCATCTTTGCAGAACTCAAGCAAGGGAGTACTTCATGCACGCAGAGGTTCAAAGCCAACAACCTTGAGTTGAGGCAGAATCGTGGTGAGACTGCAACAGGTTTGGCTCACCTCCATGAGGAGATACAGAGGGCATATTCAGGGTAGAATTCTGCATTGTGAAGCGTCTGCAGGGCAGTAGCCCCTGCAAAGTGGACTACCCTGGTCAGTCTTTGAATCTGTGGGTTTGAGGAGCCCCTGAACCCTGATGCTTATTTTATTTAAAAGCTCCTTTTCCCCCTCCTCTTCACAGGGATTTGTGCACAGCGTTTGGGAAAGATGTCCTCAAGTTGGTAGAAACTAAACCCATGATACACGAACTGCTCACTGAAGGGAGGAGGTCAAAGACGAACAAAACGAAAACCCTTGCAACCTGGGCCACTAAAGAGCTGAGAAAACTGAAGAATCAAGCTTGGTAAGGAGGGGGGCCCGTTTCCCTTCCTCCAAATGGTCCTTCTAAGGAACTTGTGTCAAAACCAATCGGAACACCTGTGGCAGGCTTTGAGCTTCAGTTCCCAAGTGAAGTTCTTCACATCGGTCAATAAGAATATTTAGCCTCGAAGCTGCTGCGTGCTCTCCTGTCCTTTCTCCCTTCCGCTCCTGTTGAAACGTTCCCAGTAAAATCAGAGAATTACAAAATCTCAGCATCCTGCAGAATAAGCGATGTAAACAAAGCAGGTGTGCTAATTTGAAAAGACTCATTTGGATTGAGTCCTCCTGGGGGCGTGCGGCCCAGCCCATAAGCGCATTGTTAATGTAGTTCTGTGGGAGGCAGTGTAGTGTGGCACGGCATGGGGGCCCGGAGTCTCTAGTTCAAATCTTTGTGTTTTCCGAACTTGGCGTCCCGTGTAATGTGTGTTCTTGGGAAGTGTGGGGGTCCTTGAGGCTCATCAGCGTAGCTTTCCTGAGAGAAGCTTGTCTTGCCACTGATTTTTCTGTTGCCAAGGAGTAGTGAGTATGTCCAGGGGTTTCTCGTGCAAGTGAGGCAGGATCCCAGCATGCCTGAATAAACTGTGAGCGCCCCCAGAAGACTCTGCAGAATCCTCCGCAATGTGCCGTTAATATCCCTGGGCAGCTGAGCCGAGTGGCTCATTCAGGGCCGATGGCACCTGCTTGGCTTACTCGTGGCTCGTGCAGGCCGTGGCAGCAGTGGCCCATCAGGAACTTTCCTGTTAAGTCAAACTCCTTTTGATACCAGATGGCTTCTTAGTGTGACATATTGAATACAGGAGTTCTCGTACATCCACCTTCCAAGCGATCTTCTGCGTTGTGTGTTTTGTCCTGTGCTTATGTTGGCTCCTTCTCACCTGATCTCCTCCTCCCTTCCAGATCTGTTACCATTGGGATGACACCTGAGAACCCCCACTGGAAATCTCCAATCTATTGAGAAAAAAACCCAACCCGGAAGTGAGGAATGTGCACGGATGCTGAGTGTTTGGGAATGAGAGGATGAGTGAGTGAGAGGCTTGAAAACACACCACGGTGAGAATCCAGCCACGGCAAACAAGCAGCAGCAGCGGCGCTGTCAATGGAGCTAATCACTGACTTGCGTAGCAGCAAAACCTTGTCATCGCTTGCCTCTAGGAAGTGGGAAACGATTGCTTTTCCATACTTCAATGCAGTCTCTTCCGACAGAGACAAAAGACTACCTTCTGTGTCTTTTTGACCAGTGAAGAAGGAGGTGAAATTAACCTTGGAGAGAGGAAAGCTAGCATCAGGTTCAATTTTGAGTGCTAATATCTTTTTTAAGGTCTGGCTTTCGTTGCTGGAGAGAAAGGAAGGAGGTGGGGTTATTCCCCCAGCCCGCCTCATGTCAACTTGTGAGGTGGGGAAGGGATTTTTCGGCCGCACAACGCTGTCAGTGCACGAGAGGAACGGGAAGGGTGAAGGATTTTCTTTCCAGAGTGAGTGTGTGTGAATGAGGCGGTATCTACATTCTCAACTTTAAGTCATTGCAGTTAAATCTTTCCCAAAAAGAGAGAGAAATACTGAGAAAAAGAGGTTAGCGGTTGCATTTCATAAACTAACAAGTTCAGTCTACTTGAAGCAGCAGAAAAATAAAAAGAGTTTAAGGGGTGGGGGGTGGGGGGGACAGAAGTTGCTCCGTCTAGGGGCTTCTTCAGGGAATCGCTGGTGGGATGTTCAGAGCTCCCGTCGTGACACTTTTTTCACGATCTTGTTTCATTAAAAAGCGCCTTTCCTTCCTTAATTTTGTTCAACTGTTAATGTAGAAACCTGAGGGTGGGGGGGTGGGAAAGGGGGAGGGTGTCAGGAAACTCACGTGTTAGTAGAGAGATTAGGATCAATTTTCTCCAAATGGGATGTGAGGCTTTAAAACAAAACACAACTATTTTCCAAATTGGCAATGGGGTTGGGGGATGAGGGAGTAAAGAAAAACCCAAAGGGGAAAAAGCCTGTCTCTTGGCTTGAAAAAAATGGCCCAAACCACACACACACACATACACACACAACTGTGCCAAAGAGTTAAAAAAAAAAGGAATTTTAAAAAGAACACTTCAGGAAATATTTTGGATTGCAAAAATAAGGTTGAAATTCAAATGTTCAAACAAAGCAAAAAAAAAAGATAAATACAATTTGGAAACCGCTTGGCCTATTTGTGCTCTTTATTTGATTCTGATACGGTATTATTCTTGCTGCACTTCAAAAAGGAAAAAAAATTATATAGATATATATATACTGACTTGAGCTTACACAGGACGGCACTTGTAAAGGTTATATTTTTCCACTGCAGTTGAAGATTAATAAAATGGTGTCAAACATTCCCCCAGTACTATTTTTTTTACTATTGGTCTTTCCAGTAAACAGAGAATCCATTTTCCTTTTTATTATAAAAATAAAACCAGTTGGATGGGCAGCTGTCTGCTAACGTCTATAGTGTGCCTGTTGTGCCCCCATATAGCTGCACATAATTTTTCAAAATTTCTACCAGTCGCTGAGGAGAGGCAGCAAGTCAGGATTCCTAAGAGGGACGAAGGGGTGAGATGCATTTGCTTCCAACTATGCAGCTAATTGATGTTTTAGGGTTTTGTTTTGTTTTTTTTAAAAAAAGATGCTTTTCAAGCTTGCCTTGTCCGGTAGGGATCCTAATAATCTTACAGGAAGCATTTTCTTAAAACGTCTCTCATCTCCTTCCTCCCCTGTGCCCTCTCCCCTTTCCCAGTCTGATCCTGGGCTGCTTTCGAGTCGCCCGTCCTCGTTGGAGAGCAAGCATGCTAGATTTCTTGTACAGGGTATCTGACGCGTGCCTTTCAGTGCCAGATTTCAGGATCGCAGCCCCAAAGTGCCGACTTCTCGAACCAGAAAAGAACCAGGTGGGCTAAAACGGGAAGCTCCAGCATGAGTCTGAACGATTGGCTTTTCACAAACCTGGGTCCACCTTTTCTTAATGCCTTTTTTTCCCTTTTGCGGTTGGGGGGGTTTTCTTTGAGAGAGACACCCACAAAACGAAAGCCATTCCTGAATTGGGGGAAGAGGGGTGTGTGAAGGGGAGATATCTGATCATTCCTCAGTGCTACTGAACTCTGTCCGCTGTTCAGCTGTAGGCTGCAGGCAAAATAAAGTACACTGAGTTAGTAGTGGAAACCAAAATCTGTGTGTATTTTTTTCCCTCTTGCCACTCGCTGCTTGATTTCTAACACTGCAATAGCAGGTGCTGCGTTTTGCCCAGTCTCAAGTCTCCTGTTCACTGGCGGAAGCCCTCTGCACATGCTCAAGGGGCAGGCTGCTGTCTTGTGACCTACCGTTGAAAGAGGAAACGGCTCCCCACGCTACCATTCCTTATGTGTCAATAAATTGCACCTGGAGGCCACGACGTGTTGCAGTTCTGAAGGCACAACCGCTGCCAACCCCCAAATACTTGATTTGCTTTTGGAGAGAGGCAATAAAATATTAAGTGACTTCCCTGTGACAGGCCTCTTAATGGAATACGTCCCTCGTCCCCTTTTTTTGTGCATGCGTTGGGCTGCCTTGTCCCAAATATGCTTGCTTCAGCATAGCTTTCTGTAAGCTTGCAGGTTTTTACCAGCTTTGCCGTGTGGAGGGCAAAGACTGCTGTGCCACTCTGGGAGCGGATGGAACAAGTCTGTGCGGCTGGAAAATTGTGCCATTTGTGATCCAGAGTGATGCTTGTGCTTCAAAATGCCTTCCTTTCTCTGATGAGACTGCTCACCAGGCGCCGCTGCTGTTTGTTTATAGCCCTCTGAGGCTGAGCACTGCCTGTCTGGCAAGTGCTTCCTGGTGCACCCTCGAACGTGGGTCAAAAGCAGTTTTCATAAGGATAAGCTTTTGTGTGCCTGCACACTACTTCAAGTGTATGAAAAGGTGTGCCTGCACACGAAAGCTTATACCCAGAATAAAGCTTTGTTGGTCTTAAAGGTGCCCCTGGACTCGAACTGTGCTGCTTCAGGCCAACATGGCTACCTCCCTGAATCTATCTTCATAAGGATGTCATTGGAAAAGCCACTGTGGACCATGCTTTGCAAACAGAATTCCCCACCCCAAATCTCAAAGGCATGTTTATTCCTGACAAGGAGGATCTTCAGTATACTTCCAGACTTGATCCGTGCTGCGTTTTCATTTGCCCTAATGTGGATGGCTCATGCTAGCCCAACCTGGTCATGTCTTGAGAACTAAGCAGGGTCGGTCTTGGTTGGTAGTTGGATGGGAGACCATCAAGGAAGTCTAGGGTTGCAACACAGAGGCAGCAGTGGGGAAACCACCTGTGAATGTCCTTTGCCTTGAAAACCCTATGGCAGGGGTGGCCAAACTCGCTTAATGTGAGAGCCACATAGATGAAACATCAGATGTCTTAAGAGCCGCAAGACATGAACAACTATTACATATTTTTATTGGAAAATATGCAAATTTGCTTTTTATTAACATTGAATAAGACTGCCAGAAATAAAAACAAAAGGGGTAAAAACAGATATTGATGATATTTAAAGTTGCTTTCTTTCTCTGCTCCCCCCCCCCCTCACCTCAAGCCTACCCAGGGAGGGAAACACTGGCTGGGGAAGGGAAGACCAATCGGGGAGGCCTGCCTCCCCTTCACTTCCCCAGCCGCCCTGCTGGGAACCGCACAATATGTGTGCAAGGGCCGCATGTGGCTTCAAGTCACAGTTTGGCCACCCCTGCCCTATGGGGTGGTCACAAGTTGGCTGTGACCTGACAACACTTTCCATAACCACATTTTCATTTAGGATGGTTCCAGAGCAAACTAATTTATGCAGTAGTGAAATTGCTCACAACTTTAATGCCAGTAGCTCACAAAGTAGAATTTTTTGCTTCCAAGACTCCACAGCTTAGAGGGAGCATTAGGAACTGGTAGTGAAGACATCCAGCTTCCCAGTTGTTGGGTGTAAGGAAGCCTTTTGGGCCTCTAAGCTTAGCAGAAGCTGGCTTGCAGAGCACTCAGCATTCTGTGACCATCTAGCCTAGATATTTTGTATATTTGGAAAAAAAAGTCTGGCTTCTTCAGCGGTGAGTGGGTGGGTGTGTTCTGCAGTATAGGGTTTTTTGAAAAGGGTCTGTGTCAGTTCATGAGCCAATGCTTGTTTTGAAGCCTAGGTTTATATATCTTCTTCCTAACTAGTTTACAAAGTAAGGCTTACAGTACCTTGTACAGCTTTCCCCTGATGAATTCCTCACCTTCAAGCTGTTGCACAAAGCCCTTAGGACGGGCTTCAGGGTGATGCTGGAAAGGCAAAGAGAATGACTCCAGGTTATCCTTTAAACTGGATTCTTCCTGTTGCAAAGCGGCCATGTTCAATCCGTTAGCACGGCAGGATCTATCTGCTTTGCACAGGTAGCCCATCTTAAAACACTTGAGTGCCTTTCTCTGTGCGCTCCACCCGTGCGTGGGTGTCTTCACCGCTTACTCCTCTGACTGATTTTTTTCTTTTTAACCCCGTGGAGACAAAATGTTGCGAATGTGACAAAAATACTGATTTCGCAGAGTAAAACCACATGGGGCTACCATTTTGGGATTTGCCTTGTGGGTTTCTGCCTTTGGTCGCCACCCCTTCTCAAGCTGCACCAGGTGTTTGTGCCACTTGTCCCACTAGCAGCCGTGTCTGAAAATCTTGTTTCCAGATGGTTGGTGGCATGCTTGGCGCACAAAGTGTTGAAGGAAAATGCTCCACCACTGTGCGAGTCCCCAGTCCTTAATTACTAGGAAATTATGCTGAGGTTCACGTTTGCCTGGGGTCCAGAGAAAGGGGCTGCGACTTCTCAGTGGAGAGGGAACGGCTGTGTGTGCCCAGAGGCATAGTTTTACTTAATACTCTGGGTCGTGTCCTTAACCACAGATTGGAAGCCTCAGAGTAGAAGGGTTGGCAGTGGCTCTCTTCTGGGCACCCACGTTCAGGAACATGCTGCTAATTGTTCCTTTGCTGCCTTTAGCATTTCTTGGAAGTGTCTTGGCGCATTATAAAAAACCAAGCCTTTAGCTATCCAAAATGCTCTCAGATTCCAAAGCATTTTAGCAGGAGAAGTCAGTGTTTCTGCTGACTTAGTTGAGGAACGTAATTCTCCCCCTGTTAACTCCTCAGGAGATGTGAAATCTAGCGGAAGAAATCTGAATTTTCAGTCTGGGTTTCATGACATTTGTATCCTACTGGTCTTCTCGGGAGCTCTTGGTCGCTTACAGTGGCGTGGTCGGTGGCATACTCCCACGAGAGCATAAAAGCCGGGGCTTAGGGTGGTTTGTGCTTGAGCCTCGATTGGACCAGGTCCAGATTCAGCACCGACTCTTGCCAGTTGCCCTTTGCAAAGAAGAAGAGATTGGATTTATACCCCGCCCTTCACTCAGAGTCCCAGAGTGGCTTACAAACTCCTTCCCCTCCCCACAACACACCCTGTGAGGTAGGTGGGACTGAGAGAGCTCAGATAACTGCCCTCTCAAGGACAGCTCCGACAGAGCTATGGTTTGCCCAAGGTCACCCAGCAGCTGCTGCAAGTGGAGGCGTGGGGATTCAAACCCAGTTCTCCCAGATCAGAGTCTGCACACTTAACCACTACACCAAAAGGACCGTATGGAGTTTTCAGGACTGGTGTCTCAAGCTGGTTCTTTGGAGTGGCAGTACAGACATTTTCTAGTTTGTCTTAATTATTTTTAATTTCTTGCCACAAATGAAGTCATCACGAAACCTCCAGCTTCACCTAGTGTTGAT